CTTAGTTTACTTCAGTCCCTGAAGAAGGTAACTTTGTTACCGAAAAGTGCTTCGGACAACTACAGTGTCGTGTTTTGGCGTTGGGGTTTTGAGCTATTCTGTTTGTTCTTCACCATATCTATCAACTTAACAGGATTTACAAGCCCGGGCGTTGGGCCGAGGGAGAGAGGTGATGAGTTGGTTTTAGGAAACCTAGGAAGGTAAAAAAGCCAAAAAACGTGTACCGAGAAAAACACTCGTAAATAATAAAATTTTAATGGTATAAAAAAAATCAATATACCTACTACTCTTGAAATTTTTGTTATAGATGATTACTCATATCATAAAAAAAAAATTCACCTTATACAAGAACGTAAGGAAGTTTTAGTTATAAAACCGTTGTAGAAAAATTGACAGCCCCTTTCGTTGTCATAAGGATGGGTAATTTTCATTTTCATTTCAGATAACTCAGTCATAGCTACTTCTTCCACATTTGTGCCAACAAAGGTTTTATAACTGAAACTCCAAACACGGATTTTTTTTTTTAAATACAATGCCTTTTGAAAATGCAGAAATAAATTGTAGACTTCAGACGCTTACGAAAGAAATAACTGCTATAAATTTCGCAATCTTTAGATAGAAGACCAAAAATTAATCGCTTTGTCCTTATCGTTATTACTAAATGCTAACCAAAAAAAGGTACCTACATTACTTTTCTTCTTAGCCAGTCGATTTTTTTTACTAAGAAGCATATATCTCTGACTATTATTATTTTATTATGGTTTTATATTATCATCACATTTTTTTTTCCAAATAAAGCTAACAGTTTTTTATCCGCATTTTTAACTATATGCATCATTCTCTATCAGAAATCTTATAAAAATTATAATGTACAGGACGCAAGGTAAAAATGGGCACATTAGAGAAATATGTATACAAAACAAAGTGAATAAATTTCATTTACATTAACAGTGGTAAGTGTCGTAAAAAAATAATTATTATTTTAGACTACCTATATACCAAATAAAATTAGATTGTTTTATTAAAATCCAAACATTTATTTGCTCACAAGTTTCGACTCCCACTGTAACACTGGTACCATGATAATTTGAATTTAAATTAGTTTTAAATACCGTTGGCCACTGGTCGTCCTTAATATAGGCAACCCACTTCACTGCAAAGTATTCTGAGCGCCAGACTGCAGTAGCAGTTCTAAATTCCTTTACTTATTAAGGACTTGGCTTTCAAAATCAGAGTTTAAAATATTGACCAAGAAATAAAAACGTTTTTAAATTGGGGGTTGGAGGTACAAATCGATGTTCTCTATGAATAATTGTGGTAAAATCAGCAAAACGTAATGGGGCTATAAACGCCACCCAGACCTTTTAAAAAAAAATTGGATAAACTGAAGTTCGCAAATATCTACAACACCAACTAAATAAAGGACAATATATCGATCTTGTACAAAGAAGTAACATATTATATGCTCGTCACCCTATGCACCATACTCTAGAATGTCTTTTGTTAACCAAATTAACAGTAGATTAATAAAATTTAATTAACACTAATTTAATTATGTACTATTACCTGAATTAGCTGTAGAATGTAACGTTCCATGGTTCCATGTGTGAAAAGCAAACAAAGTTGAGAAAGGATACTAGGTCAGACATACCATGTCTTCATCACTAGTGTCAAAATTTACTTCCCAATCTCGCTTATTTGTTAGCCACTCTATAGAAACCAACAGAAAAAAAATAATTACATACTTTTAATCAATTATATTTTAAAGAAGACTACTAAAATAATATATACACAATGTACCATTCATTAATAAGCGAAATAATTATTTGTTACTATATTTAATCTTTATCATTTTTCTTCAGTCTCAAATTAAAGTCATACCTAATATACGTATAGTTCAAAATTAGCCCCCCCCCCAAATATTTTCTTCAGTTGACTGTTTCAACTAGTGTTATTAATTAGAAAAACAAACTGAGAAATTCGAAGATCATTCCTGTTGTAATAAAATTACAAAAGAGCATAGGGACCGTAAAAGTAATATCGCTACTTAGTTCGGTGTTCTCTGAACTCTCCCAAAAGGAAGATGTAATCCTAAACCTAATAGATAATGCTAAAATTTTTGCTAAAAAACTTAAAATTAATCCAGAACCGGATTTTCAAAGATAAAGAAATCCGGCAAAAATTGATAGCTGAACCAATGCAGCGAGCTTTGATATTCATATGTTTTATAGAAAAGAATTTTTAAGCGTTTACTTTGTACAAGATAAATTTGAAATGGTTGTAGAATGTTTGAATCTAATCTCAAACATTCTCACAAACCCTTTAGACAAAAAAAAATATTACAAGTGTTACAGTTAGAGGTATTATTTGATATATACTCTTTTATGTATGGCAACGTGAAGGTAGCTGCTAAATACAAAATAACTATTGGGGAAACTTTTCGTCTTTGTCCCAACCATGCATGATGTGGGGACAGTTTGTTTAATATTCCTGTTAAACAATAAATAAACTGTTAAAATAAATTTGGTAGAAAGCGTTTATCTAGTGAATACTTTTTCTTATTTTTATGTATTGTCACTTTAATATACCTACATAATGTCCCAAGGTAAAGAAATTCTGCAAGAAAGGTACCCACATCAGTGAGCAAAATAAATTTTAATGTTCTCTCCTCTCATTTACAACTCAAACTATGCTGAAAAGCACAACAAAAATAGACTAAATATTAAACTAACAAGATGCAATAAGAGATAAAAACAAAGTAAATACTGGAAACAGCTGAAAATGGGTCCAATTATTTGACTGCAAAAACATTTCATTCATCAAATTCAAACAATTATACCTTTTGATCGAATTTGTTCCTGTCCATACTGGTCACAGTCCTATCTATTTTTCACCATACAATCACTCCGAGTTATACACCAAAATAAACATTGATAGCTTCGCAAGAGGCCCCCAAAACAATAATCAACAGTACTAATTATTTGATATACAAATAAACAAACGGAATAAGTGCAAAGAACCTCAAACATCACAATTCGCGATCATAGATTAAAGTAATATATACTGTGAAGATCATAGACACATCATAGATTAAATTAATAGTAGTTTCGTTTCGCGTACGGGTATTACTAATACCATAGAGTAACACCAATTAAATTTAATTTACTATTTATTTATTTATTTGTCAGACTTCCGTACATAAGTACAATAGAATATAAAGTATATGTAGCGAACCCTCCCAATTGTTTAAAACTCCTTCCTCCCGGTTATTTCATGTAAGTTCACATTTTAAACCATTTCAGCAAAAAAAAGTTGCATTTTCGAAAAAGCCGCGATTCGGAAGTTTTACCATAAAAACTCATAATAACTAACGTAAATGAATTACAGTTGATTTACCAAGTAAAATAACTCACCTACTTATAAAGTTGAAAAAGAAAAACTAACACTTTCACAAAACAGGTGAATAATATTACTGAGCTGACTTATAGTTTTCACTAAGTATCGATGACTTACGAAAGACGGCCTATACTATCTATGGCCTATACAAAAGAGTTCTTGTCATTAGGAAACCGTGCCTGTCGTTATTAAAAGGACCGCTTGTTCTAAGACTAGGAGCATACTAGGAGTTATTGCGCCATTCATATAAACAATGTCTGGAGAACTCAGACAACGGTAGACACAAATTGTAACAACTACTTCTTAGTACTTCAGCCTTAACAGAAAAATTCGTTTTACGAAAATAACTTACTCCTTACAATAACTTACTTTAATGAGAAATTAGAATTAAATTGCAATAAATAATACAAAGATAAATTTCACTTACCTTAGCGCTTACCATAATGATTTACTTTTCAAACATAAATGATAAATTAACAGTTTAATCGAAGTTGATGTTAATTCTAATAATAAAGTGATTGTTAAAATATTTCAGCACAACCTTCAAGTATGCAAAAATGCCTAAATTGTAAGTAAATTTTCGCTGTTTGCACTACTTTCTCCGTGACGTATGCTAATTATTAATTGATAAATACTAAGTATATACTATAATAAAAAAAAATAAAAGCGCAGTAATTGAAGGTTTAAACCAAACACTTAAAAGACTTAATATAAGCATTAAAAATTTTGCATGCAGTAAATAGGTAGGTTCATAACTCTTAATGGCAGTAAATTTTACAAATTTACAATTTCTTCAGGTAGCTCTTGCAAGCAGGCAGATGACCTAAACAAACTACAGGTTCAATTATGATTTATTACCACAATAAACTGTTACAAAGCAACCACCCCAAACAGACCTCCCTTGTTGTGTTTATTATGTAAAAGATGTTGTCTATATAGTTTAAAAATGCTTTTTTTAATTTCACTAAACGACCCCTTAATTTTATGGAATACCCCTAGGTTGTAGAAAATCAGTTCATAATAATAACTGATTGTAATTTATTTATGATTTTCAACTGCATAAAATAATGTGGGGTGGCAAACCTTGAGGAAAATTATAGCAGCAAACTGAATATATGCTATATCCTACATGTAAGTGTTGAATATTTTGTAAGAGCAAAGAAAGTTAAAAGTTAGTTAATAAAATTTAAAACATCAATAAATTGAACTAAAAATAAGCCACTAAAACTTATTTTGTGAAATTTTAATAGTAGAAAGGAATGGATTTCATGTTTAACGTTTTTAAGGAGTATTTCTTTAAAGCTGACATTTTATTATTTTAGTAAAAGGTAAGTACATGAACTTTATTATGTAAATATTTACAACATTTACACCTCAGTTATTTAAAAAAGCAAATAAATTAATTAACATTACCTAATAGTGTTAATACTGACTTAGCAAATACAAATACCCATCAGGTGATTAAATAAAAAAAAATAGAATTAGAGACGATTTAAAATTAAAAATAATGTATAAAATGCACATTTCGAGGGGTTTTAAACACGAAAGAAAAAATAAATAATAAATATCTAGTACTATATAAAAATATGTATAAAATTAAAAAAATTCTCAAGAAAGTTCCTACATATGAAACATTTTTATCTTTGCCTTTACTTTAAAGCTAACGAATAGTTTATGTATTTGTTATAAAATTATATACGCAATTTTGCAACAGTGCCACTTTCAGTTCATTAAAAATTTTGGCCCCATTCTTGTGTTATTTTCTTGTAAAAATGCAGTTATTTTAGTGAATTCTTAAGTAATAAATTAAGTAATCTTTTAAACATATAAATAATTGTTTCTTGTTTCAATAAATTATTTTAAAGTAAATATAACATTAAAAAGGTAAGTAAAAATAATACGGCACTTGAAAATAGTCAGGAAGTTTTTTAGTCTTACTTCTTTTAATCTTAGGAGAAATTAAATTTCAAAGTGAATAAATTAGCTGCTAATAATACTTGTAACTGTAGATAAAATGGTTTTCGCATTTTTTTTTGCCTTCAATCACAGAACAACGACCGCCCAATCAATTGTCTTCTATCATCTTTATAATAAATCATTTATGTACTTACCTGAAAGAGAAATACACGTGTAGCCAACAATTAACAAAAAGTGATAGCAATCCCTCTCCTGTGGTTTTATATGACGTTATCTATCAATTGGTGTCATTTCCGTTGAATAAGTTGCGTTGGACTTTCGGGAGGTGAGTCCGAAGACACGTCTTGTTTTAGAGGGCGACGGGGAACACTCTTCAAACTAGTTGAAAGCTTCTTTAAAGGTCTGGGAGATATACTTGTTGATTCAACGTTCTGCGACACATCGGCGTTGTTGAACCAAACACCCTTCATAGAATCTAAAAGAAGTTAGCATTGTAAAGGATTCACTTTAACAAAATGACGAGATTGATTGTGCACTGTTTTTATATTTTTTTTTGCTTACCTCTGTTAAATTTATGTTCGTTCTTATGTCCTCCCTTATGTGATTGTCCGTGAGGATCTATTAGTGCTGCTGCAAGCGTCGATTGACTAGAAGAGCAACTGGAATTATTAACTGAGCCACTGATTGTCCGGCCAGTTGTTCGAAAAGGACTTAAAGCTATTGTGGGATTGAAGATCTGGGATATGAAATCCTCATAAGTAGTGCTGTTTCTGTGCTTTGTAACTACAGTTTCCAAAGACCTAGCACGTTCTTCATAACTACAAAATAAGTAAAAAAAAAATTAAATTAGAACTACCGAAACAAAAGTTTTTTTAAGATTTGCGGCTAAGAAATGATTACAGTAATCTCCAGTATTAGAAAATCAACAGACAAAATTAAAAATTAGTTGGAGAAATTCCTAATTAAAAAATTTCTAATTTGTATTACTGCAGTAGTACTGACATTATTTGACATTTCATTTAATACTCATTACTTACTTCCCTTCCCACTGGAAAGTTAAAAATGGTGTCACTTTTATCAAAAAAACAAACTCCACAGTATTTTCCGAAATTATTCCCTAAATAATATTCAAAAGATGTGTGCAGTTACCGAACAAAATAATAATGAGCAATACGTATTTTTTCATGCTGTGTATTAAAAATTAGCAAGATGTTACTTCATTAGAAGGAAAACTTTCCAGTGAAAACTAAAAAGGTACTTGTAAAACTTTTTATGGTAATTTCAATAATATTACATGTAAAACAAATTAAGAGTGCTGTCAACACAGGGCAAAGTAGTATTACGTAGTTAGTATCTGCAATTTCTTATGCTGAAGTGTACGATGTGTTGCATATCTATTTACAATTCCTTTAAATTTAATTTTTCAAACAATCTTTAACACAAAGAAAGTGATTAAACAAATTGTTCACAAATGTGAATTTTGACCAATCAAAGCAATGGTACTAACAGTTTTGAGCTCACAGTGATTGATAGGGGGGAAGAACTAGTTCAAATAAGAATATTACTTACTACTGTTGGAAAAATGGAAGTGTAGTTCTCTTGGCTCGACTGGCAAATACAACGGTTGCCCTTACTAATCCCGCAAGAACGCTGCTACTTACGATAGCTTCGTTAAATAGAACACCAAAATAAGATACCTACAATGGATCAAATGTTTACTTCCTTAAAAACGTCTCTTCCAAGTTTGTTATAATTACCTCTGCCTTACACGTAATTGTCACTCTGTTTAGCTGATTTCCTAGAGGATAGATGACTATCAAAACGTCGCAGAACTCTGTAGGGATTATATCCCTACGATAATCTCGACTGTGCTCCGACCATACAATGTGAACTTCGTCATTTCCCAAGTGGCGGGTCTATAATTGACGTTTACAATATACAACATCGGAAGGTGACAAATTACAGTATGATTTACATACTTTATTGAGTACAGCTTCTGGTGTTTCTCCGGGCATTCGCGTGGCTACGTGAAAAATAGCTTCCAAGAGGCTTGTGGCGTAATAAGGTGCAGTGAGACCAGTGGAACCCTGCTTCTGAAGTCCTCCTAGGAAACCAGTGTGACCCTCCAGTTCAACTTCCCAAGCTAACGAAGCCAAGAACTGCTCATATTCTACACTACCACCTTGATTTGAAAGAATCGAGTTCTTATCTTCTTGGCCTGGGGCTATATATATAACAGCAATCTACAAAATTATATATTATAACATATTCTGTTTAAAAAATAAAAAAATTAGGACCTTGTGCGTTTCTCGACATCGTTGCGTATCCAAGTTTCTGATCTCTCTTAGCAACCTTTCAGTCTTGTTTAGTAAGTGCAAACGTTTTCTCCGTTCCCAAGTAGCGAGTCCAAGCTGAGAAAAGAGTAATCGGCACTGTTGGAACGATGATGGACTGTCTGCAGATCGAAGAATTACCTCCATTCGGGTCTGAGCGGCTAGCATTTCATACGCCATACATGTGGACGAACGTTTTCCCGATATAATTTCGAAATTTTGCGTTGATTTGAAATGATCCTGTTCTGTATTTCTCTGACTTATCACCGACGCTATTGCTTCTTGTTCGATGTCAATTGAAAGGGGAGGTAGATCAGGTTCGTTTAATTTTTGCTCAGCGTTTTCAAGGCACTCAGGACTCGTATAACCCAAATATTGTAGCAACTAGAAAACAATTATATCCATTAATTCGATTATAGAACATATAATTAAACATAAAGTGTTATTTTCAAATAACTTACATCATCCAGTTGATCTAGATCAGGAGCTGCGTTTGAAACATCAGGTAAAACGTTAGGAGGACGGTGTCTGACAGCACGTTGAGGTAAATGGGGTTGAAAATTATTGAAGATAAAACTTTCGGGTTGAAAAAGGCTGACCGGCCCCCATTTGCTTTCAATCGAACTTTGACGATCACACTCTGCAAGCTCCGTACTGATCACAGAGGTTCGTCTAGAGTCAGGACTTTGATAGAGTATGGAAGCGTCCCAACTCGATTTTCCTGACAAATCGCGTAAAAGCACACGGACTTGTTTATCTGCCGTAGAGAAACCCGCAGTAGCCCCACCACCTGGTACTTCTAATGCAGGCAATTCGACTAGACTTGCAACCACATTTTTAGTTAAGACAAACAACTACATAAAAACAGAAAAACACGTAATTACAATAAAAATAATAAAATAAAAACTTAAAGATAAAAGTTTTTTAAGATTAAAAGGAAAAGGAGATAATTACACATTAAAACCAAACCATAAATACAAATTACAGATTGATAGTAGTACGAAAAAAGAAGCCTTAAATACATTAATTTCAATTAACAATATTTTAATAAAATTTTACAAATAAAGCAAAACGTTCAACTTGCATTAATTTATAAAAGCACAACAAAAGTCTTAAATGGAGCATGAAGACCTGCCTGTATGTTAGGTGCTGAGAAAATGTCTCCAGAAAGTTCATCTGATACCAAACTTGGAACGTCATCGTGTTCAACAACCAGAGAACTGAGACGAGCGGCACCGATGGCCATGGGAAAGTGTCCCAAATGTATTACCAAATGGGCGGCAACTGCTTTCGCACAGAGTATCACGGCCTGCTGACAATTGACGTTTTTGGACGGAGACGAACCCGGCGTCTTATCCATTAAGTTATCGAGAATGATGTTTGAATCAAAATCCTCCTTTATCGGCATGCTCCACTGTTTTAAAATAGCTTCGCTTTCCGAAAGGATTCTTCCGGAAATAATCTTATACAACACCTACAAAATAAAGATTTTTTTAATTTTATAATGCGGAAAACGTGAAACAATGTAATAGTTTTAAGAGTTAATTATATTTACAGTAAAAACTAAAGATAGGAGACAAATATTCCTTTTCTCGCCGTATTCAGGGACTTCCAGAAGCCTCGCAGGTCCTAATCGCATGCACCATTCTCCGAGGCATAATAGCAAATTCATACACAAGGCCTTGTCGCAGTCTTTATCTGTAGGACCTGATGGAGCGTGCGAGAACAATACTGAACATAGCGTTCGTATTATGCGATCACCCATATGTGGGTAATGAGTCCACAATACCGGGCCATAGTCGCATAAGAGAAATAAAATATTTGAAGCCAATTGTGCGATTGTTTTGTTGTTAATCTTTACAAAAAAAAATTAGTTAGTGTAAAAAAACAGATTTAATATTATTTAAACGACTTACTTTAAGTGCTAAAAGTAGTACATTAAGGGCGTCGACTACTTTGGGATGGAAAGACTGGTTGGTAAACTCCTTGTAAATAAATATGCCTAATGCAGATAATGCAAAACATCTAGCGATCCCTGTTGGTTCTTTTCTACCAGACCTTAATAATATTGTTATTAAACGTTCCTGCAATTAAAAATATTTTAATACAACTAACAGGTAACCAAATTCAATGAATAATTTCAAGATAATACTTTCAGATCTGGACACGCCATTAATTGAACAGACGGTTCTGGTTTTAAAACTGAAATTTGACCGATATCGTTGGGCAAACTTAGAAGATTGGCTAAAATAGACACAGCTTCGGTTCTGGGAACGCTCTGAGACACATCAGATGAGTTTAAGATTATATTACACGCGTGGATTAGGTCTAAAAGTAACAGCGACGAACCGGGCAATTGTAAAGACAGAAAACGGGGTCCTAGATACTTAATAACGATGTACATTGCAGACCTTGACGATCCACAAAGAGCTGAAAATAAAAGATTGTTCATATTAGGCATAAAACAACAAAATGAAGTAAAATACGTATTTATAGGGCCTTTAAATAATAAAAAAACGTCAGTTAAGTTACCTATGTGGATGGACTGATAAAACTGCGCCAAATAATTTCTGTGCTGCGGATCACAATTTAAAGTAACGGTGCATAATAATCTTAAAGCGCTCAGTTTTCCGGTTTCATACTCGTTAGACAAAGTCAATGCTTCAAAACACCATGGTATCACCAACGTAAGAGGCGGCACCAATTCTGGAGGCGGTGGAGTACTTTGATTATCCATTGTAACACCCTGATTCTGCTTAATTTTTATCAAAGTTTCTGTTAACTTTATTAAATACTCAAACACCTGAGCATGCAATCGGGGTTCGTAAATCTGGTTGATGTCACCGAGAGCACCTAACATCCTCTTCCACAGAATGACAGCTACGTTAGGAAGCCATCCTCTTATGGTACCCCCACAAACTACTCCTTTCGGTTGGTCTCCTAACATCATTTCTTGAGCACTATTTTCTGGCGCCAAGACGTCCAACTGAATGGGCGAATCTTTAATAGAAGAACTCTCCAGGCCACTGGATGGAGCTGGACTGGGAGATCGTGTACGATCCGTTGACTCCGAGTCCAGTGGATGTAAATTATCTAAAGAATAAGATCTTCTATGTGGCTTCTGAAAAAATAAAAATACACCTCATTCTGATAAACTGTATAAAAGCAAAAGTGGGTGTAAGTACCTGAGATTTAAGAGGGGATCTCCGTTTAACAGCCAAATTTGTTTCACTGTAACTTCTCGAAAGTCCATTTCTGATGGTATTTTGAACCCCCCCACGTGTATCTGGGATACTTATGTCGTTATTACTGATTCGAGAAGTGGCTGTTTCAATGCCTGCTGTACTACAAGGAGTGCTACCCTCTTGTCTGCCAGTTCCCCTTCGTGTTTTTTTCGTCTTCTGTTCAGACAAACGATCTAGTGGCAAATCTGTCAGATCCAAATTATAAACATGCCTAGCCAAAACTCTTGTTAAAGTCTCTAGCGTTTTCTAAAGAAAAAAATCGTATTAGAGGAAATTAATCAATCAATTAACAAATATTGAAATTTACCGCCCACTCTTTGATAAGTTCTTCCCAATTTGTGAGGGATGTTAAAACATGCAAAAATCTATCCCACAGTTCACGTGAAATCGTTACATTTAGATTTGCTTTAATCCACGTAACAATTAGGGTCTGAAAAATTGCAGGTGCTAACTTGACCCCCAAAGTTTGTCCCTTCCTTTTTGGCGGGTTCTCACTCAAAACTAGCGACGTTATTTGCAGTAATGTTAGTAAAAGCTGTTCCCTATAAAAACACAAATAAAAAGATGTATACAGCGACATCACTTATCACAATCAGTGTTATTGGTAGAAATTAAGCTTAACATCAATAAACGCACCAAGAAACTGCCTTTTTAACACAAGTTTCTGTCTAAAGTACACTAATCTTTATACAAAAACGAGTTTGACGCATTAAATATAACCTCAAGTATTAGAAATATTCAAATAGAAACCCTTACTTACGGAGATAAAACTGCTATGTAAGGTTATTATAACTTTATCCACAAAATATATTCGATTTGAATTATATTTAGAATTCAAAAAGTTCGAGTTAAGGATTCCACTGTATATAGTGCCCTGTTATCAACGTACAAGCCCTGTACCCTATGATAAAGAATAAAATTCAAGTAGAAAAATAGTCTTTCATTTTTTGATGGAAATAGGAAAGAGAGTAGACATAGTGACACTACATCAAGCTTGCATATACTAATGGCGCGCATTAATTGCATACAAACTACAATAACGACAAAGGAATTTTTATTTTTTTATCACATATTACAGAGCTTATACGATGATAACACCCTGTACATAAAGCAGTCAAACTTACCATGTATTACTATCCATGCGGGTANAAAAGTTTTGTTTTTTTTGCAGGGTCGAGTCACTTCTATCCTCGCGAAGGATTAATTTAGAAATCCGAAAAGGATTGTTAAAGGTGTATGTTTGGGTCACGGCGCTGTACGGGTGCGAAACTTGGTCGGTAGGGGCGACAGAAAAGAAAAGGTTAGAACCGTTCGAAATGTGGTGTTACAGGCGAATGATAAGGATACCGTGAATTGATAGAAACAGGAGAATAGAGGACTCTATGGGGGTCAATAAAAAATAGGCGAGACAGGTTGGTAGGACACTTTCTTAGGCATGAAGGTCTAGTCAGAGACATATTAGAGACAGAAACAGGAGTAGAGGTAGAGCTAGAACAGGTTACTGTTCGCATATATAATTAAGATGTGGTATATTCTAGTTTTAGGGAAATGCGAAGATTAGCTCAAGATAGGAAGGAGTGGAGGTTGCGGGTCCAAGGATTGACGACCTTATGATGATGGTGATTTAATAAATTGCACCAAAGGAATTTTTATTTTTTCTTCACATATTACAGAGCTTATACGATGATAACACCCTGTACATAAAGCAGTCAAACTTACCATGTATTACTATCCATGCGGGTATGCATGACCATGTAACGGTAGATATTTAAAACTCTCTTACAAGCATCCGTTTGTTCTTCTAGAAGAGAAGGGAAATGAGGAGAAACCTCCGACAGAAATACGTTTGCGGCGTGTGAAACGAAAACTTGAAGAACATTCTACAAAAAAAAATTTTGTAAAACACAAATAATACTATTTTCATTCATTAACTTTATCAATAATATTGAAGACAGAAAGACAATACCTGTAATCCAGCCCGAATAATGAGATTTTCTTTATGGATTGCGCCCAAATACGAATCGTTTCTTAAACGAATAGGTCTGCTGTTTTCACAAGGGCTGTCCTCCAGCACTCTGGGTATCTCGTCAGGTAACTCCAGGGCATATGGGGGCAGCTCAGATAGATTTAATTGTATGATGTCTTTGTATACCGCTATTGTACGTCTAATAGCCACCGCGTGATTAAAATTAAGCAAAAAAGCCTGCCGATATATTTCGTGAATAAAGTTGACGTTTTCTCGAGAACTGTACAAGATGTCGCGTACTATTTGACTTGCTAATTCTTCATCATTTGCTACTCTTACCGTTTGGACTGATATTGCTAATAAAAATTAAATATATTAACAATACTGTAAATGTTTCAAAAAATACGAGATAAATTTCTTACTTGAATCAAGACTAGGATGTGCCGAATCGTGCTGGGGTTCTTCGTGCGCCACGGCAGGCTGGTGAATAGAAACCTGAGTGCCGCTATTAGAAACATTACCCAAAGAGGGCAAACTGGAATCTGTGGGCTTCTTAAGTTGATGCATATGATTTGCGACCCATTTTATTAAAGAAACGCGGCAAGCTACAAATTCATTATCTGCTTCGGGTTTCCTTAGAACTGGTAAATCTACAAATCACAGACATTAAAAATCAGAACAAAGCGCTTTGAATATTTTGCAGATTTTCACCTAAATTGGGACTGTATATAGACGTCCCGTAACAGAAATTTGGACACAATTTTGGTAGATAATAAATTTTGAATTGTTCCAATAAGAAACTAAAGCATCTATGTTGCCTAGATAATTTATCATGCCATTCCAATTTAACCACTGTTGTGACCATGTATTCTAGTAAAGTTTCCAAAAACAATTTGCTAGGTTGGTCGGGTAATTTCTCGGCCCCAGATGGCGGCAAAATAGGCAACAGTTCAAAACTGGTAACAGGGTTTTGAGCACTTGTATCATGGAATATGCTGCTTCCAATTTGGGCAGTAACGTCTTGTTTCTCTTGTCCAAAATTAGGTACCAAACTCGAATACGTTTTGTGAATGTACTCTGGAGCGTTCTCACCCAACGCCTGATACCACATTAGGAAGTAGCGTACAGCTTGTCTACGTACTCTGATTGAGTTTCCTGGGTGTAATAGTTTGCCCAGAATGCGACTTAAAGAGTGAAGTTGCCATCTTTTATGAAGAAGCTCGGGAAGTAAAGAAAGAACGTTTTCCAGAACCCACAGCGCATTTTCGAGTTCCTCTTTGTGAGCTTTGTGTACTGAAAATTATTTTACTATGAAGATTGGCGACTTTTTAAAGCATTTTTATAAGTATATATAACTTACCCAAATGAAAGGATAGTTCTGCCAACACCAGGAAAAAGAGAACAAAAGCCACATTAATTAGTACGTAAATATGTATTTACATAGATATGTACAAACAAATTGACCCTCAATAAGTGTTTAACTAATACTTTTTGACTAAAACTCATTTTTTTTAAACAAAGCTTAAAAAATATAAGAACGTAGGTTTTCACGCTAGAATCCATAGTAGAATTAAGATTCCGGTTGATGGCTGTGGCCCAAATGAACGCTTAATCTAACTAACAAACATGAACCTTAATTCTACATAAACTTGAACATTTTTTTAACGAGTGACGATTTTACTGTGCAAAAAAAGTTAGTAAAATATTGTGTATATTAGATAATAGCCACAATATGTAAAACATCCCGTTATATTTACAAACATTAAGCAAAACATTTGCATATAAAACAATAATAAAACCATTTGGCTGATAATTCTAATTATTACAATAATATAAACAACTACGAACAAAAGATGAGAAATTCAAATATTACTGATATTTTAGTAGGCAATAAAACTTCACATAAACATTTAAATTATAAATCTTAGACCAAAAGAGATAACAGTATAAAGATGATCCCATTTTATTAGAGATTTTCTCTTTCTATCATTAAAAGATTAAATTTTATTGAAACAATTTAGTGCCAAAATAATGAAAGAACAATGTGAATTGTAGTGAAGAATGACTTACAGAATTAACAACCTTCGTTAATTTTAAATTTATATATTTTGCTTTTTATTTTTACCAAATAATGTTACTTATTTTCTTCTGTTACACTGTTTTTACGTTTTCTATTTTTCATACTAATACCATTCAATTTTTGTTATTAATGATGCATAAATGATCTTTTAATAATGAACTGTCCAATACTTATCAATGATGACTAATGTTACCCAAATGTAAGATATTAGGTGTACCCCATCTTATACATTAATCATCTAAGAAACATACCTCTTTGACGAAGATGGTTTTCTGCTTCAATAAAACTATCATACAGGATATGATATATATGACTAAAGTTGGCTTCAAATATTCCTTTGGCTTCCAACACATCTACATTATCTAAAATCAATAAATTAGAAATTAAAATCATACAAACCACATTCACAAAAAGTAAATTTTTACCCAAAATAATCTTTAAATGTTTTAATCTAGTTGTCAAGTCTTTTTTAGGATCTTGAATTTTAACTGTGGATTTCTTGACATCCAAATGAGATTTTTTGCTAAACATTGTAAGCAATGTTTAAAGTGATAAATGCTTTGAAAAACACGTATTTTTAAACCTTATAAGTAAATTAAACATCTTCTATTCGTCTTAAATGCAACTACAATTATTGTACAATACAATCACAATCACGCACACGCATAATACAATACACAACGTACACTACGTACGCTACTTTCCGTCTACATTCAAGATTCAAGCCTTTTGTTGACATAAATGACAACAATGACATGTCAACTTGCATCAGGACAATTGACAGATTATATTTATATTTAAACGTTTGCCTTTCCGTCGTATATTATCGGTCATTTGTTATTTCACATCTGTGGAATTAATCAGTGGTTATGTAGCAGTTACCACTCTTTTGAACACGCTGTGACCCATCGGTAGCATTAGCTCTATTCTTAGCCAATAAGTTTTACTTTCTTAAAATATGTTTATTTATACATTCAATTTTTAATCATAACTTTACGGTATGAAAACACAAAACGTAAACAAAATCTCCTTGCCTGTGCGGCAAATCGGATGTGCACTACTGCACAGCGTACAAACGAGCACAATTTGGCTCGTGCCGTACATTTAAAAAGTTAAGCAGTTGCTACTCATATATGTAGTTCTTTTTTGTTGTTCTTAGAAATATGGTCCCACGTGTAATTTTTAGTGTTTTTCTTAAGGAAATATTGTCTTCCTACTTTAACTTTCCTATAGGTTTAAAAATAATAACGTGGTCCAATCGTTTTATAACCCATGCAAGTAAATTTGATAAAAACGATGGGACTGTTCCTTTAAAAACCTGGTTGGACCATGCAGAAGACACTTCCAAATGCAAAATATCAAAGCATATGTATATCATTGAACTACATATACATTGTATATCTATTATCTATGATATCAAAGTGAGGTTATCTTTAATTTCAATAATGGTTTGTAATGATTATATTCCCTTGTTAGCGCTACAAAATTGATTAAAACATTAATTAATTTACCTGGTTTTCGGGCAAATCTGTCTTTACCAGAAGAAAATAATTGAGAATAATTCTCTAATATACTTGCGTGTATCTCTAAAACTAATTTGTTTTGATTTAAGCAAAATTCAAAAAGGAAATGGAACAAAGTATTTTTCAAAATACCGAAGAAAATACAGATAATAAAAGCCTAGTAAGTCTTAATTTATGCAGGGTTTGTGCATCAACCAATGATAGAATGTTAGACATATTTAGTTCAGAAGGAACTGCACAGAACTTGGCCTACAAAATTAACGTTTACCTCCCATTTAAAGTTACTGAATATGATGTATTGCCCCTCAGTTGCTGCTTTGAATGTATTTCAGTTATTTCTACATGGCATAATTTTATACTTAAAAGTTTAGATGCCGAAAACACTCTACAAGAAATTTTCAGAAAAAACAGTTCAAAACAAAGTTGTGATGCAAAAATATCTCCAGTTTCATTAACTTATGATGCTTGTAGGTAAGCAGAAACTCATAAATTACATCTATACTTTCAAAGTGGGTAGTTTAATCTAATTCATCAATTTATCCCCTAATTAATGTAATCTTAAGTATTAAATATTGTGATGTATATACTTCAAACTGATTTGTTCTTTTAACTCTAGTTACTTTTTAAATTGAATAAATAAAAAGGCGCCGCCCAAGTCACTGGGATCAGAGGGGCTCAAAAAAAGTATTGCAAACTGTAGCTATTAAAGGCTCTCATTGTTATTTCACATATATAGATTTAAGAGCCATGTCTCCTCACCTGGACGGCTCCTGAGTAAAGCATTTATTGTTTCCTTTTTTTGTTAGAGAATTTTGGAACCATTTTAAAGCTAAAATCCAAAATTTTTCAGGACAGATACAAATATAAGTTCTTCAGATCTACTTATATTCTGCCAAGAATCTAAAGTTGATTTTAAAAATCAATGCAATGATAAAAAAGTTGCCAATAAGTTAAATGAACAATCAATTTGTGTTCAAGAAAATTCACAAGAGGAATTATTCAGTTTGAAATGTGAACTGGGCAAAGTTCCAAAATGCTTTAATGATAACATCTCCGATGTACCAGGCATTCTTTTAATAGAGTTAAAGGAAGAATTAAACATGCAAAAAAACGTAAAACGTCGGGAAGGAAATAGTTTCGTATTACATCATTCTAAAAGCACCAGAATTAATAATGTAAAAAATCAAGAAGAATCCGGAAAAGCAGCAGGAGTGGTGCTTTCAAGTGCTAATCAAGTTAAAGAAATGGGTAATAATTCTGTACAAAATATGTCATACTTGATAAAAGCTGACAATACAGAAAGTACAACTAAAAATAATCATAAAAGGAAGAAGAAAGAAATATTACAAGAACACGATCGTTCTGAAAACGATTCTCCAGAAAATAAATTGATCATCTCAAAATTTACAAGAAAACACCAAACCAAACTTGACCACGAAGCTTTAAAATTAGCCAAGGTGACTGTTGAGGGGCGCGTTTATTACAATTGTAATATCTGCGGGAAAAATCTTCATTCTCCCTACACGTACACGTGGCATAGACGCATCCACAGTGGAGAAAAACCATACGTTTGCGACTTATGTGGGAGACAATTCCGTGTATCTCAGGGACTAATAAGACACCTTCGGGAGACACACGAAGGCTTGAAGAATTACCGATGTGATACCTGCGGGCGTATGTTTGCAACTAAACGAAACGTCGAAGAACATCGCAGAACACACACAGAAGAAAGACCATACGTTTGTGATCATTGCGGCAAAGCATTTAAACAGAAAGCAACTCTGTTTGTCCATAACAGGTGCCATTCTGATACGTATCCATACAAATGCATCTATTGTAATTTAATGTTCCGATCGCGACCCCCCATGTTATTACATATTAAGAGACACACTGGCGAAAGACCCTACCCATGCGAGGTTTGTGGAAGGCGATTTAGAACTAAGTACGATTTAAAAAAACACGCAATGATACATTCAGATGAAAAGCCATATTCTTGTACGGAGTGTGGCACAAGTTTTCGACAAAAAAGATATCTTTTAAATCATAATAAAATTAATCCCAACTGCAAAAACTACTAATTTTTTCACCCACTTTAAGACTGAAAACGATGTTTAATTTTCTTACCAATTGCAAAAAAATATTAATTTTAAATCGATCTCATTTTCGTAAAAGTACTTCTAGTCAGAGTTTATATTAAGTTTTCATCTATTCATAGTGTAACATTGTAATTTTTAATTTTTTACATATAATACGCACTCCTACTTAAGTACTTAATCTACTACATATATTGTGATCTTGAATGTATATTTTAATTTATTGTGCTGTTTTAGTTACTAAATAAAATTTTCAAATCAAAATCTCTGTGTTATTTGAAAACAAAGTTCAGTTATTTAAAACAGTTCTTGAAAAGGGGATAAATTAAAAGGTTTATATAGAATAATTTACACTACACGCTGTTACACTAACGTAAATGTACTTATGGTTTGTTTTTAATTTAGGGATCTACTTAAGGAGACCACTTCAAAAAAGGACGAAGAAACCAAAACAGATAAAAAGAAAGCAATCTTTAAGGCAATTCAAACAAATTCTGAAGCAATAAGTAGTAAAATTCGGAGAAAAAAAGGTGAAATTATTTACAAATTATTTTGCACGACATGTAATAAAGGATTCACAAGAAATTTCGATTTGAAGAGGCACATTATAAAAACTCATCATTCAGAAGTTGAAACTTCTTCAATCCTAGGATCAAAAGATCCCCAAAAAAAACGGAGGCGAAGAAAGACCGAAATAGATGCAACTTTTGAATGTGAATTTTGTCAAAAAAAGTTCACTAGAAATTTCGACCTGCTCCGTCACAAACGTCTCAAACATCCTGAAAAAGTTTGCCAAGCACAACACAGCAATATATCGAAAGAAAAGAAAGAATTAATTCTTAAGTCAAAAACAGTCATTAACAATAAAACGTTTTTCAAGTGTCAAGTATGTGGATATAAGTTCAGTAAGTCAAGTAATTTAGTACGCCACACAACTGTACACAATAACGTATTAGACTACAGGTGTCGCGTTTGCGGAAAACGTTTTCGATTAGAGACTGCGTTAACTCGCCACATAAATCATTACCACTTGGGCATCAAAAAATTCATCTGTGATACATGCGGCAGTAAATTCGCCTATAAGTATTCTTTAGAAGAACATAAAACTGTACACTTAGACTACAGGCCTTTTGTGTGCGACGTGTGCGGAAAAACGTTTAAAAACAATGGTACCCTTAAAAGACATAAAATTATTCATTCGGATGCGTATCCCTTTCAATGTAATTATTGCGGGAAAAAATACAAGAGACTGGGAGACTTCAAGATACATGAAACATTACATAGTGATTATAAAAAGCACTGCTGTCATCTGTGCGGGATCACATTCAGACTGAAACATGTTCTTCAAAGACATCTAAGTGTCCATGATAAACTTAACGAATGTTACTGTTTGGAATGCGGGTTAAAGTTTAAGCAAGAAAAGTACTTAAAAGCGCATCAAAAATCTCACATGAATAACATACGTGTAAGCAAAACCGATTGATCGACAGATAGGGAATAAATAAGTGATAAATATTTTATAAATGTTATTTCCCTTTATGTGGTTTTCCAACAGCGCATAATATAATCTTAAACTACTAATTATGAAGAAACAGATAATTAAATTGTGTTATCGTATTTGTACCTTATAAGTAATGTTTTTTGGAATTATAAATTAAAAGAGGGAGTGTAGCAAAATTAAAATAATTAAGACACTACTTACTTTTTCTGAACCAATTATAAAAGCAACACATTTCAACAGACAACTATAATACCAAATTATTGTTTCATCATAAAATTCGTGAAATGTTTCTTTTGTTTAATAATGTTACACTAGGTAAAAATGTTGTTAATATTAAACCAATATAAGCAATAAGAAGTCTAATTATATTAAAACTAGAAAATAATTAATGGAGGCTTATTCATAATTAATTAATATAGATCTCTAAAGCATTGCATGTATTAATTGTAATTAAACTTATTTTTAGAAAACTGAGTTTCAGCACATATATATAAATAATTATAGAAAATAAATACAATTACTTATTATCACAAGATATTCAATTCATAACTTAATATTTGTAAAGCTGATGGAGAGTATGATGGAGTAACAAAGATATATGTATGACAGCATAAACCAATAGGCAAGGATATTTTAATAAATAAATATATAATCACTCTGCCGTCACAGTTGTCTGTGTATTAGTAGATTCCCTACCTAATGAACTACCGGGAGATTCGGCATTCTCATTTATTAATCTCTGCCTTTCCCTATACATTGACACGCGAATATTCTCTATTTGATGATAACGACAAAGTTTTAATAGAGCAAATACGGTAAGACCCACCCACGTTGCAAATGAACCCCATACTCCGAACTAGAAATCAATTTGTTAAATTTCTTTTGAAGGTTTCATTTAATGAATAAAACATCATACCTGGGCAGTCCCTAATTCCACATAGAACCCTTGAGTATCAATACCATCCTGTTTGTCTATCACTTGTCCTGCAGCCATTTCACATCTAATAGAAGGAAAATAAAGTTTATTATATCTTAACAAATTTAATATTTGAAATTTACTTACGAAGGAAACCTTTGTGTCATATTTTGACACCAAACCATGAATCCCAATGTGATCATTAATGCAGCCATAATTGTCATACCACAAAGAATCATACTTGAAACTACATCTATAAAGGCCGATAAGAAACTACTATCAGTACCTTGATATAAAAATAATCCTAACCTATCAAAAAATAAAACTAATTAGAAAATAAACGTATGTAATACCTGAGGAATTACCTATAAATCTGAATAACTGATGCAAGAAATAAAGCTACACCTACAAATATTGAATAATTGCAATAGGCTTGTGATGCCCAACTAACATTAAATTGTCCATCACTTTCTTGCCACACTCCCGTTGAAAATAAAAGGCAGTGGCCTCTAAAATTATAATAAAAATTAACAGATAGAAATAATTAATAAAACTCCGAATATTATTTTTGTTACCGAAATTCATCTTGATGCAAGCTCATAGGAACAACTATACATAAAGATAAAATTAAAGCCACAACATAACCAGCAACTTGACTTAACAACACTATATTGCTGAGAGCCATTTTTTACGAGAAGAATCATAAATTTTTAATATTTAATAACAAAACCACTTTTTTTAAGAAACCAAAAACAAAAAATATCTCGATAATAGTATTATGACATTTGAGATCGTAATTTAAGTTTAACCATAGACATAGATAATAGATACACAAAGGCATTGAAGTGGAGGGGAACACTGGAATGAGCGCGCTTATGGGAAGCTGTTGAAAAAGTTGATCCCAAGTGTTAGACAAGGTCAGACGCTGTGGCGTGGTTATCTGTCTGAGTCATACTAACGTAAATAGAGGTGTTATTTAGACTGTGTTGTTAATTTTTTTAGTTTTTTAAAGTAATTAGTTGAAATGGTTAAATATTGTTGTACATATAGGTGCACAAATGAATGGAGATCCAATGAAAACATAAAATTCCATAAATAACTAATACTTTTTGACTAAAACTCATTTTTTTTAAACAAAGCTTAAAAAATATAAGAACGTAGGTTTTCACGCTAGAATCCATAGTAGAATTAAGATTCCGGTTGATGGCTGTGGCCCAAATGAACGCTTAATCTAACTAACAAACATGAACCTTAATTCTACATAAACTTGAACATTTTTTTAACGAGTGACGATTTTACTGTGCAAAAAAAGTTAGTAAAATATTGTGTATATTAGATAATAGCCACAATATGTAAAACATCCCGTTATATTTACAAACATTAAGCAAAACATTTGCATATAAAACAATAATAAAACCATTTGGCTGATAATTCTAATTATTACAATAATATAAACAACTACGAACAAAAGATGAGAAATTCAAATATTACTGATATTTTAGTAGGCAATAAAACTTCACATAAACATTTAAATTATAAATCTTAGACCAAAAGAGATAACAGTATAAAGATGATCCCATTTTATTAGAGATTTTCTCTTTCTATCATTAAAAGATTAAATTTTATTGAAACAATTTAGTGCCAAAATAATGAAAGAACAATGTGAATTGTAGTGAAGAATGACTTACAGAATTAACAACCTTCGTTAATTTTAAATTTATATATTTTGCTTTTTATTTTTACCAAATAATGTTACTTATTTTCTTCTGTTACACTGTTTTTACGTTTTCTATTTTTCATACTAATACCATTCAATTTTTGTTATTAATGATGCATAAATGATCTTTTAATAATGAACTGTCCAATACTTATCAATGATGACNCACTATTTATTTATAAACACTCTAGCATTGTTTATTACTTCATGACGACTAATAAAAAGAAGTGACGCAATGAATACTTAGCAGACTAAAAACAGAAATTTCAACTTTTATTTTGTTATACTCTCACCCTTCCAGAAGAGTAGATATGTTTCTATATGATATGATTCTTTGGAAATTAAAAAATATATTAAAAATAGCACAACAATTTTAATCGAAATTTAAAATATTTACAGTCCATTAATGCTGGACAAGGTAATTAAAATAGCCTCATCACTGAATAAGATTATATATGTATATTTAGTAGTCAAAAGTCGAAATGTAGGCACTTCGCCGAATGACGGGACAATCTTAGATTTGCCTAAAATACTTTCAAGATTAAATTTTAAATTAAGACCTAAACTTACTATGACCTAATTTTTTCTTCTCTTTTAAGAATAATAGTAATATGTTCTTAATAATTAAGTTGTGGTAGGTTTCGGTTTGAAATTTAATATTAGAATGTATTTCGGGGTTTGTCTAAACGCGATGACTAAACCCCACGTAGACCGAACGTCTACATTTTGACTATAATGTAAGAAAAATTACACTGAAATGTATCAATCTATTAATACTTCTGAAAATACTTTGGTAGGGTGAAACAACTGTTACGAGTATAATAAAATTTAATGTGGAAAATTGTGTTGTTATTCGGTCAAATATTCATTATGACTTTCAATTTCTATAAATCAGAGGCCGAAACAGTTAATTCTCATAAGCGCCTGTGTGTGAAAGAGAGATGGTATCCCACTCCGCAGCAGCGGAGCTATTCGCACACTTGCGCTCACAAATTTAACATAGCGTACGCGTTCCAGTATCTGTAGTCTAGTTCAATGCACAAAGGGTAATCAATGATTAAATTGCAATATTGCAATATGATTGCAATCTATGATGATGATACCTTATCTATGGATGGTATCAAATCTAACTATGGTGACAACTGATATAATCCCTAATTTCATATTTTGTTAATAATAATGTGATAATAATGTTACGGTTTTCAAAAATTAAGAAATTATTTAAAATGTGTAACAGGGCGTTTGATACTGTCGGTAGTTGCAATTGTGAATACAGTGTTCCTTCTGACAATAAGTCAACTGACAAAAAAAGTTACAGAACTGTAAAAACAGCCGAAAAAATAGATAAGTACCTTAAAAGCGTGCCTTTTGCAGGAAAACTAGTCAGTGAAATTCCAGAGAAGCATTTGCATCTTAAACAAAGCGATTGCATTTCAGCATTTTATTTAATTGATGATGGTGTTGCCAGTAAAATTGTTTGGCAAATTGTAAAAACATTAGGTAATATAGAAAATAAATTAATATGTGAAACCAATGCAGGATTTGGCTTTATTACAAAAAGGTTATTATGGAAAGGAGCGAAAGTTCGGATATACGAGACATGCCCTGAGTTCCGAAAAAAATTAAGGGTACTATCACATAATTATAATATAAATAATTCTGTAAATTTCAATTGAAACTTGTAGATAATTTGTCAAAATTATGTAAACAGAACCGAGTTATTTACTAAAGATCTGTATCATTTACCTACAATGTCTTATATTGATAAAATTGATCGTGGTTCAAGAGTTCAGCAGTTATTAAATGGTATACCAACAAGACCGTGGAGTTCCGGTAAGGCAAATAAGACTAATTGCAAATATTGTATGTGAAATTGACATTCAATTACTAATAGATCCAGCAATTATTATAATTGGTGCAATGCCAAAAAATAATTTTATTTCATATTTAATGCGAATGGTTGTTCATCAGGGTGAGATAATTAATTTTGGAAGAGTAGAGATATTTGCAATTATGAAATCTAGAAATTACCAAGTAAGATTAAAGTAGAACCTTTAAAAATTTATTTTTCTTTACCAAAAATCTATTTGTAGAAGTTAAATGCAGGGCCTGAAGTAAGTTGTAAATCTTATACAGCTTTTACAGTTCTTTTTCAACTATTTTTTGATTATGAATTTATTGATAATTATGATAGGAAGGCATTTATTCCATATGAGACTAATCGTAAGAAGAAAGAAAAAGAGTCAAAGGTAATAGTTCTGATATGATAAATTCCTCTATGCAATATTTCACTTATGTTTTTAAGTAAATAGGTAATAAGTAAAATGTTTTTAAATAAATAACTACTTACTAAAATTTTCAAATCTCTAAGTTAATTGGTTTTTGAGAGAAAAAACACTTGAAAAATTTTTTTTTGCTTCATGAAAGGCAGAGGCCTGAAAATAGAATTATCTATTTATCGTAAAAACGCAAGCGAAGTATGCTGATGACAGCCGATTCATTTTGCCCATACTGTATGTCAGAGTATTGACCATAGCTTATGTTGTTTTTTTTTATTATATCATAAGGTGGTCAGTGAAGGTGAAATGTGTC